TTCTCCACTCAATTGGAATGTATCTTTTCTTGAATATGCCCAGTCATATCCATATCAGCTCATTCTCCCTATGGACAAGGTTAGCAAATTTGATAATCGCATAATTCCCTACAAATTTGATAATCGCAGAATTCCTCCGAGGTCTATAGATCTTATTCTTAACAAGTTCTAAAAAATGAATCGAATGACCATATGGAGAATCCTCAACTTCATAATCACCATATTCAATGGAGAAACCATCATTCTCCATAACTTCAATATATTCAAAAAACAAGAAGAGCTTAGTAACTTATCTTTGAAATTAACCTCTGGCATGGAAGGGATATGATCTGACTGATCCATCATCATTGCCTGCAGGAGGTGCAAAATCCTCATAACGGAAACGTTAAGAAGAACCATCTTTCATGACAACTAGACTCTCTGAAGGTCGCCGAGCCGAAAACGTGAAACCACGAGACCCAATTGCTGTCGAAATAATCGGATCTGAAAAAGGTGAGCAAGAGAACGCAAAAGAAAGATGAGCGGGTGGAGTGCGTTCAAACGCACTGATTCTTGGGCCCTTTTATTTTAACTCTCTCACAAGGGTGTATAAAACATGTCATTTTTCTATCAAATAAGATTGCTTAGATAAGAAATGAGTTTTGTTTAGGTTAAGCGAAATTTGTATCATTCACAAAATGACGATGCATATTGCATTCAGATAACAACACTTGTTGGCTAGATGCTAGCTTGTTTATTGCCATTTTGAAAAGCAAGAATCCAAACAAAACAATCCAAAAAAATATAAGTAAAAATTCTAAGGGGTTTCTCTAATGTGAGATTTCATTGCAATATGTGAACATCCTTCAAATGCATCATGTATCATAGAAATTTCTAAAGTACAGTTTGTTTGCATGCTAAACAAATATATTATATTTTAAAAGGTTTGTAGTCTAAGTAATTAAAAATATTTATATATATACATGTGGATTTTTGTTTAATTAATATCATTAGAATAAAAATAATAAGAAAATAAATACCTCAAACAATTTTAAAAAATTTGAAGGCAATAAAAACCATTAGTCTCATAATTGTAGATGTAGCAAAAGAGCCATATCAATTGAACTCAAGTCCACCCCTAAGTGTGCCATTTAAAAGGCAAAACGTCAACCAAGGTGGTTGGTGTGAGTGGTTCGGCACTCTCATTCCTTAAGAGAGGTCAGAGGTTCAATCCCTGCTCTCGTATGGAGTCACCACTTTGGCCAGCACTTTACCCCTTATGGGCCGACCCGGTGTGAGCGGGGATTAGTCTGGGTTGTGGTTAAGGCTTAAAGGTGCCACCCATAGTTGGGGCCCATCCAGGACCACCTCGTGGTTCATGCCCAAAAAAAAAGGCAAAACGTCACTTTTGGTCCCTGTAGCTTATCACTTTTACCACTAAGGTCATTGTGGTTTCAATTTGAAGTAATTCAAGGACAATTCTCAATTTCAGACAATTTTTTTTAACTTTTGTTAGTTGTGGAGGGGCAAATTCAATCCACAAATTATTAAAAAGTTAATTCCTTTTAAAATAAACCATGCAAATATAAATTTTAAAATAAAAATAAAACATTGCTCTCCTCTTTTACCTCCCAACCCCAACACCCTCCAACCGTCCCAACCCCACCTCAACCAGCAATCACCTCCCTGTAACCCAACCCTCACCCCAGCCAACCACCACCTTCGTATAATTGGCACTTGCAAGCAGTGATGAAGGGCAAGTGTAATTATTCTTTATTCTTCCTCAACATAAAGAGTTGGGTAAATTTAACTTTACTACCCTCCCGAAATTCAGACTTTGCTACACGAAGATTTTTTCGTCTCAATCTCATGCCAAACTTTGATTTTACTACCACTTTCATACCTCTGTTAGTTTGACCGTCAAATTTTCCGTTAAATGATGATATGGCACGTTGACCCATTGGATTTGTGCCACATGGATAAATAATTAAATAAATAATATTTTTAAACAAATATAAAATATAAGTAAATAAATAAATAAACTTAAAAATTAAAATTAAAATTAAACAAATATCCCTCTTCTTCTTCGCGATAGTGATAGCCCAGAACCCCAACCAAGAGCCCTTATCTCCGCCATGTTTCAATAAGTGGACCTCAACTTTGCCTTTTGCCTCCTCCATCCATCCACCACCGCAACGACCGTCATGACCACCTCCGCCTTTAAAGTCACCGCTTGACTCTCTCTCCTCCTCGATCATACATGTATAGCGCACGAAGACTAAGACCTAACGAAGGTAGGAGCCTTGTTGTTGCTGGGAGAACTAGTTCTAGTGGGCATACAAAGAGTTGTGCCATAGGCCATTGGAGACCTACTGAAGATTCAAAGCTAAAAGAACTTGTGGCCCAAATGTCTCTAAAGTTGGGTATGAACTTGCAAATAACCTTATAGTTTGGGGGGTTTTATTTAATTTTTCCTTTAAAAAAAATGATAGAAATTGAGAATTGCCCTTGAATTGCTTTAAATTGAAACCACATGGACAAAAATGACCAACTTGAAACCACATAAACCTTAATGATAAAAGTGATAAGCCATAGGGACCAAAAGTTACGTTTTGTCCATTTAAAATGACAATAAAGTCCATGGATCTGAATGAAGCCCAAGAGACCAGTGAGTCGAACCCAAGCCCATAACAATCTTGAAACGTGTGTTCCTATAACGTGGTTACATTACTGATATTTACAAAGTTAGGAAAAACACTTACCAGTAAGACGGTTTGGCCGAGTGGTCTAAGGCGCCAGATTTAGGCTCTGGTCCGAAAGGGCGTGGGTTCAAATCCCACAGCCGTCATAACTTTTTTGGTTTTTATCTGGTTATATTGTTCATTAGACGACCAAACAGGAAAGCCCTCGAATAAATTGAACTCCAGCAACAGCAAATTTATTTTTTTCCCCAAAAAATATATTGAACTGAATGCTTAGAATTTTATCTCAAGACTGTATGTAATAAGCTAACAGTGTCCATGTATGAGCAGTACAAGTAGGTGTGATTTATGCTTTTTTGTTTTTGTTGGTAAAAAATATCTTTGTTATTATAAAGCCAAACTCTTCTTAAGCTTAAATAATATTTAAAAAGGGCAGAGGTTAACGGGTTCTAGTCTAGTGAAAAATGGTCTTCACTTGCAGACCAGGGGCGGATCCAACATAAGATCAGTGTGGTCTCAGGCCCCTCCCCCCAAAATTTTTACCTCTTCTATTTTAATATTATGATATATTATATTTTTATCTCTTTATATATGATATATAATATTATAATATATTATATTAGTTTTAGGATATTTACCCTAAAATAAAATAATATATTAGGCTTTTTGTCTACAAATTAATCATAAAATTTATTGATCTCTCTTTCTACTAATTTCCCTTAACTCTTCTAGGTTAGTTTTATGATGATTGCACTAAAAACTCCTAAAATTTTAACCTTTCTTTCTCTTCCTCTTTTGTTTAAAGCTTTGTGAATTTCTTATTTTCCTCTTATTTTTTTCATGTATGAGTTGAGTACCTTAGTATTGTGATTTATGAATTATTATTATTTTCTATTTCTTCTTTTTGTTGGAATATAAATTATCAAATTTTAAGTCCTTAATAGTGTAGATGATGAAATTAGTATTTAACCAATTTGAAAAATGAAATTCATGACAATTATGAAGCGAAGACAAGTTTTATTAAGAAGCCCCTCTCATGTGAAATCCTGGCTCCTTCATTGCTTGCAGACCAGTAGTCTCAAATTCGAACCCTTATGACACCTTGGTCACGTGTGTGAGAAAATCCCTTTCTCCCAATATCACTTGTATATAAAATTTTTAAAAAAATAAATGAAGGTAGAGAAGTGGAAAACTTAAGTAAATATAATAAAAGAAGTTTGAAAATGAAAAATAATGCGCGCATTCCACAAACATGTTAGAAGCAAGAAAGAAGAAAAAAAAAACCAAAAATACAAACAAATGAGAGATTGTCAAATGAGCTAAATGGGCTAGATTGGTCTAGAGATTTGGGCTCAACCCATATTATTTTCCAAGTGCTGTGGTCCCTGAAGCCCACACTATGTACTAACCCAACCAATCCAATAGAGACAAAAGAGACGGCAAAAAAAGAGAGCGAGCGTGAGAGAAACAGAGAGAGAGAGAGAGAGATGGCGGGTGCGTTTTGGGGGACGCGAGTGCTGGAGATAGTGAAGAAGCACGACTCTGGAGGTCTATTGTGGAAGAGAATAAAGCTGACCACCACCCGTAAAGCCAACGCGAAGAAGCGCCTCCTCCGTGTTTGTTTTATGATGATTGCACTAAAAACTCCTAAAATTTTAACTTTTCTTTCTCTTCCTCTTTTGTGTAAAGCTTTGTGAATTTCTTATTTTCCTCTTATTTTTTTCATGTATGAGTTGAGTACCTTAGTATTGTGATTTATGAATTATTATTTTTTTCTATTTCTTCTCTTTGTTGGAATATAAATTATCAAATTTTAAGTCTTTAATAGTGTAGATGATGAAATTAGTATTTAACCAATTTGAAAAATGAAATTCATGACAATTATGAAGAGAAGACAAGTTTTATTAAGGACCCCCTTTCATGTGAAATCCTGGCTCTGTCATTACTTGCAGACCAGTAGTCTCAAATTCGAACCCTTATGACACCTTGGTCACGTGTGTGAGAAAATCCCTTTCTCCCAATATCACTTGTATATAAAATTTTTAAAAAAATAAATGAAGGTAGAGAAGTGGAAAACTTAAGTAAATATAATAAAAGAAGTTTGAAAATGAAAAATAATGCGCGCATTCCACAAACATGTTAGAAGCAAGAAAGAAGAAAAAAAAAACCAAAAATACAAACAAATGAGAGATTGTCAAATGAGCTAAATGGGCTAGATTGGTCTAGAGATTTGGGCTCAACCCATATTATTTTCCAAGTGCTGTGGTCCCTGAAGCCCACACTATGTACTAACCCAACCAATCCAATAGAGACAAAAGAGACGGCAAAAAAAGAGAGCGAGCGTGAGAGAAACAGAGAGAGAGAGAGAGAGATGGCGGGTGCGTTTTGGGGGACGCGAGTGCTGGAGATAGTGAAGAAGCACGACTCTGGAGGTCTATTGTGGAAGAGAATAAAGCTGACCACCACCCGTAAAGCCAACGCGAAGAAGCGCCTCCTCCGTGTTTGGCAGGTTCTCTTCTCTCCCTTTAGTTAATAATACCATTTCTGATTTCTCAGTCTCTGATTAGGGTTTAGGGTTTAGGGTTTAGGGTTTAGGGTTTTAGTAATACCGCCGATGTCGGAGCTATTTACTTGCTTGAAATCGGAATATTTGATTTTAAAAGTTATGGGTTACGTAATTAGAGGCCACTGGCCAGGCAGTAGAATCCGCCATTGTTTTGTGGATGTGTCTTGTGCTTGAAAGTCGTAATGTGCATAAACCCCAGCATATGCTGAAGTGCTCTTGAGTTTTGGCAATTGAAAAATGAGATTCCCGGTTGGGTTTTCTCAAGCATACTTTTGAGAGAAAAATTACAGGAAAAAGGATTAAGCTTGATCTTGATAGATGGCCATACAGCATTGCCTTGGATGGAAGAAATGCTTTCCTATCATCTTGTGATCATAATTTATGGTCAATTAACAAGGCCTATTAGGTGAAATGCCCTATGAAGGAAACTATGTGAGATATTTGTAAAAAAAGTTTGATTTTTTTTTTGTAGTTTGATGGAAGATAGGTACAAGGCTAATTGTTTTTCCTTTGAATTTTGGTTATTTGTTTCAAACATATTTTGGACCCTAGTCATCAATGGTTGAGCCTGTCTAATTCTATTGTAATTTTTGTCAATTAACAAGGCCTATTAGGTGAAATGCCCTATGAAGGAAACTATGTGAGATATTTGTAAAAAAAGTTTGATTTTTTTTGTAGTTTGATGGAAGATAGGTACAAGGCTATGTTGATTTCCTTTGAATTTTGGTTATTTGTTTCAAACATATTTTGGACCCTAGTCATCAATGGTTGAGCCTGTCTAATTCTATTGTAATTTTTACGGGTTCTTTATGCATATCTATTCTATTGCATACGCTGAGTGCTTATTTTGGCTGCTTGTATAATGTGTTTCTGTTCTAAATTGGTCAGTTCACCTCGTATGAGCAGTCCATCCATTCCAATGATAATCTACTTGCATGATCTTACCCATGTGCTTATGTAATATCTGCTTCCGTTTACAAACATGTCTGGTGGTGGGTCGCATAAGGAGCCACTAATTCTATATACGCCTAGATGAAATCACAGATGCTTTGTTGGTTTGTACTTGTACACTCCGAAATCTTTGTTGGGATTTATATGTTGTGTTACACACTTTGAAGATCCTCTATTTAACTGATATTGAACTTCTGGAAATGCCCCTTTTCTTGCAGAATGAGGCTGTTCTGAGGGCATGTGCAGAAACACCCACTTCACAATCATCAGGAGCTGCTGCCAGTGGAGTCTGTGAGAAAGATAGCACAAGTAGCCAATAATGAGGTAGAATGCTAGGCAAACTTGGAGGTGTTCGTTTGGTCATTCTCGGGCCTCTAAATATCAACCATTTGTTATAACCTTCAAATGAATACTATCCTGAACCTCCATTTTGATCTTTCTATTTCTAGAGTTGAGGATTATGTACGGAAGCTTTTAAGTCATTGACTAAATACGATTATAATCATTTGTCACCGGGACAACTCTGATGAATTTTGATGGTTATTCCAAAATTGCTTGCTGCCGATGTGCATCTCAAACCTGAAGCTTATTGGTTTTATGGTATTGTTGTTGCTCCGTAGGATTGTGTCTCTGAGAACATCATTCAGTAGAGTCAATGCCAGCCACATCTGAGTCTAAAGCAGAATAGGATTGCATATTTGATAGTAGGATAGTAGGCCTTAAGCTGAGATTGGCTGTTGGGGTTTCAGCACATCTTAAGTTATGTTGCTTTTAAATCTCATCTTATCGCTATTTTCCTTATGGCGGAAATATCTCTAGCTCTGTTGTAATATTTACTTCCAAGTATTGTTTGAAAAGTCTCTTCTAGAGGGAATCTTTGCGCTTCCAAATTCTCATACACATGATAATACTGAATTTTGTCACAGGATGATGCGTGGTCCATGTTTTATTTATAAGAAAACGGGGTTGGGAAGAAATGTGGACACAAAATCCGCGGAAATAATGGTTGAAAACTTCCTATCCAGCCCCCTTGTTATGTTGTCATAAGACTGATTTTGACATTAAACAAGTTGGTAAATGAGTCTATTTTCGTTTCTGCATATGTCGCTATTATCTCACAGAATATCAACAGGGATACTCCAAAGCCAATCAGTGAGATGAATTTATAGTTTTGCACGCAACCATGATGCCCATTACATGTGCGGCTTCTGGGAAAAAATCTTATGTGCGTTCAGCTCATGTGTAGTGTCTTGTCTTTTTAGGAGGACTTATTGCTGCAAGGAAATTTGAGATTTTGACAAGTTAATGCATCTGTGGGATGTTGAAATGTCTCACTTTTCTGCTGCCAAAAGGAAGCAAATTCATAATCTTACTCCATATTTTGGCACTTTACAGAAGCCCCAAAAAATAAAAAGGTACCTGCTAGTACAGGGGAAAAGGCAAGAAACTACTCAATTCATGATGCAGGAGGGTTGTTGCCGTCCCATATTATCTGTCAATGAGCTCAGCACTCTAAAGTCCTTCAATGCTGAGGCAACCTCTTGGATTTAATTCAACTGAGCACACAGTTCACATCTTGTGCAATAGTAGTTGGTATTTAGCTTTTAAATCGGTTGATGGTGAGCTGTGGCAAATGGCTGCCGTGTTGGGAGGTATTTCCTTTTGCCCAAGGGCACCTACCCACTTGTTAAGTGCATCAATGATCAATATTTTAAACAAGGAAAGAAAAACATAAAAAACAATCTTCACCCTCTCCCTCACGAGATTCTCTCAGGCTTTGGATACCTTTTGGTTGTGTGTTGTAGATGTAATTAGGTTTCTTCTTTTTTTAATATAGTTTTTACCATTCACCACCCCATCATATTCATGACACTTGGACGTAAATTATGCTAGTTAATTACGGTAGTGAGAGATTCTCCATTATAATAAATTAAAAGGTCCACCCACATTAATTTAATTTAAATGTGAGAGATTAATATTTTGATTTGACCATGCCATTAAGAGTGGTTTAAAAATTGGACATGTCCCTGTTGCATAGATACGAAGCAACCCTTTCAAAATTTCTCCAAAAACCCAAAAAAAACATATAAAAGTGGTTGGTTTTCGGAACTGGTCAACATACACAATTTCATAATACATTCCCTGTCTGTTTGGTAATGCTTCCAAAATGTCACAAATGCCCCTCCGTGACACAAACTCAAATTGCCCTTCTAGTGTTTCTTTCTTTTATGTGATTGACCTAATCAGTTTAGCTCTAGTGTGTGGTCTACCATGACGGGCTACCCACGTGATTGACAATTCCAGAACCCAAGTCAGCAATCCACAATCCAATCCAATCCAATCCCATCCCTCTCTCTCCCTCTCTTACATACACACAAATTTCTTCTTCTTTGTTTTTTTTTTTTGGGTTCTGTCATGAAAATGAAATTAATATATAGAAAAAGTGACGTGAAGAACTCCAAAAGCCCTAGGTGATTCTAAACCACTGTCACAAGAAACTCTGGTCGGCATATTTTATTTTCCCTTATCTATTAATTTTATTTTTGTTTTTTCCCATCTGTTTATAGCAATAGCATGTCAAATTAATCAGACTGATAATCAAGGACATACTATCATGCCGTCCTTTGTCCACCTGATGTCCACTTGGCACTCTCTCATGGGTTTCCAAACCTATCCACCCTATGATCTCATCCTCCCATGTCTGTATAGGACGACAACCTACCTTGTAGGTTTTGTTCCATCATATTTTACTATTTCTCTCTCTCTCTCTCTCTCTTATTTTTCTCATAATCGTATTCACAAATTGCCCTTGTCAACACCAATGTTACAAGCACTCATTTTTTTATCTTGACAGTTGAGAAGATACTCTACTGTTATGTTGATGGAAGTCTAAAATTTGGATGAAGGGGGATGAACTCACTGCTCTGGCCAACGACCTCATACGCGTATGCAAATTGAGAAAATCGTTAATGATTATTGTATTATGAAAAAAAAAATCATAACTATGATGAGTTGTGTACTTTGATAAAAATAATACTGATGATGGAGTCAACTATATCAGGCTCGTGGCTCTTGCATGTACGACACGTGTGTTTACAGATGAATGATTTGGTATATTTCACCGCAGTGTTTTTACAGCCATAGCAGAGCAGCAAAATTACAGATGAGTGATTTGATATTTTTCTTGAGAGTGAGTTTACTTTGTTGCAAGTTGTAAGGAAAACTTGAATATAAAATGTTTCCCATCATTAACATGTTTGACAATGTGTGTTTGATAGTTTAAACTGTTGGATTAAGAGGTACCGTTTACGTAAACTAGCAGGAATGTGCAAGAAATGATATGCTTTAGGAAATTTAAGGTCATGGCCGATGGATCAGTTTTCTTAACTTGGGACCCTCCAACTGGCCATCTCCCACATTTTCTTTTCAAACGCAGCTGTCCCTTGTAAACAATAATCCACTGTGTTTTTTAGTCCCTCCACTCTCACCAACTGGTCCCGAAGATTCAAAACTTAGTTACCCCTGTTCCCCTGCACCGCCAAACCTACTCTCATAGGCCCTTTTTTCTTGTAGGACACTTAAATTAGTACACAGTTGTAACAAATGTTTGTGGAATACTATGTCAGAATGTCTGTTTTCTTGGAATTAGATTCCGTGATGCAGATTGGAGTACATTTGAAGATTTGTGTGACGGCTTGGAGTTCTTGGAGATTCGATCCATTTGAAAACAATGCTTAGGAATTGGGTTCCCTTTGAGTGATTTTACTTTCCCCAAAGGGAGAAAGGGAACCTCGTGCGAAGCTGATCTTTGCAAAGATAAAAATATTCTAATTCTTCTATTCCTCCCAAAATCTAAGGAAGGCTTTCGGAAATTTCATGTTATTGATGTACACTTTTGCTTGCTTTTTACTCTTGGGAGTCTCTTTTCAACACTTATTATTCCCCTTGAAAATGGCATGGCTTTTCTATAAAGAAATTCTGCTACATGATAAGCAGAACATGTTCATATTACGAGTGTGCTTGCTTCCAGAAAAAAAATAAATTCAATTCAGATACTGCAAATAAAATGGAACATCAGATATTAGAAAATTTGGGATTTGATTACATAGCGATAAAACCATCTGTTCACATACATTGCTCTTCATATTACCGACTACAAGTTACTGCCGATTTTCTTCCTTGGACATCTTTCGCTGCATTATAAACTTAAAAGGACCCAAGACTTGGATTTCCTAGATGGTTATTCTGATAAAGCAACCAGAAGCCTAATTACCGGTACAGAGACGACTAATTTAAGGGGATTATTGACTAAATTGCTACTGTTTTCTTCTAAAGTAAGGAAAACTATTGCAACTACTGCTTTCTTCATGATCATCTACTTGATCACTAGAAACGACCTCTGTGACTCCGCTGGAACCTGAGGAGGAGGAACAAGGTGCAAGGCTCAAATTTGCCCTGTCTTTTGTCATGAAATCGTAGAAAACAGGCCTGGCAGTCTTGGGTTTCCGAATCACTCGGTCATTGCAGGGTTGTTGAACTTGCTCCTCCTCATTTTTACCACCTCTTTTCTTCAAGAATATGCGGCAGAGGACCCAATTGTCCATTGGCACCACAGGACTCTGCAACTAAAAGAAAAAAAAAACATCATTAACAATGATAACATAATACACTGGAAAAAGAAAATGTGTGCTTTTTGGTTTGTAAAGCATCATAGAAGACTATTTGAAATGGATTTCTTGAAATTTTTAGTTGAACTACTCATGCAAGAGACAATTGGTACTGAGCAAACAACACTAAATAGAACAAAAAGCTCACTTGGGTTGAGTTCTTTTCTTGTGGGGCATTGAGGGCTGTATTTTCAGCCAAAACAAGGCGATATTCATGCATAATCCAATCAGTCCTAGTGCCATGGGGAGGCTTTCCTCTATAAAAAACCAGAGTTTTCTTCATACCCACAACTTGGTTGCCCCTAGAAGTCACAATTTGCTTGTCTAACCCAGTTGCCTTCCAATACCCAGAACCGGTTGCTCTGTTTGATCTGCTCCCATTGGGGTACTTGGCTTCCCTAGTGCTGAAGAAGTACCTCTCTTGCTCACAATCACCTAAACCCATACAAGCCGTACATGCATCAGAAACAACACTTAATACGATTTGGGTTTTCACTGTCTTTCAATTCTCTGTCTAATTTTCTTCCTTCAAGACCATTTCCATGTTAATACGATTTGGGTTTTTTATTGATAGGCATATGGCATTGTGGTTTGGTACAATACAAATAATAATAAAAATAAACCAATTCAACAAAATTGAAGTTTGAGAAATGTGAAACAAACCTGGCAAATCCCAAGGGTCAGCCTTGCAAACTTCAACCTCAGGGATGATAGAGGCAGGCAGGGGGCAAGAGAACACCTTGCGCTTCAAGTACTGAAGAACCAGCTCTTCATCCGTGGGGTGGAAGC